CACGCGTACTCTGACCGATTTCACGACCTCGTTATATCGCTTCCATCGGCTGTACATACCGCACAACTCTCGTGTACCGGCGAAGCTCGTTTTCACTTGAAATCGTGCTCGAGAAAGGTCGATTTAGGCTGATTCTACCTGGAGAAAGTCGACTTCCTTCTCGTTCGCTCCAGTTTAAGTTACTCTCGTCGAATGACCGTGGATTATTAAAGACGAGCGTGCATACCTCGACGAAGAGCGATCGAGAGCTGCGATGTTGGGAATCGGTGGAATTTAGGTCGACGCTCGACCTGGCAGAACGACTCTCCGTTGCTTTATTTACTTTGCTGAACTTCGAGATATACGTAGATAGACGCGTCGGAGGAAGGATTTTGATCTGGATATTGCGTTCGCTGCATCGTTGTCATTTTTATTATTGCCAGAGATACAGTATATATATATATATAGCTTTTCAAGCTCGTGGATTCATCGTTTTTACTCAGGATCCGTGAATCTAGGTGCCCCACTTAAATTGTGCATCGAATGTTTTTCACAATATCGGACTACTGTGCGGAACTACTGAAAACTCATTTCGAAGAAGCAGAACCGCACTGAAATTGAACATTTTTATTTCAAAAAGTTTCTATAGCGTTCGATACACTTTTGTCGATGTATTGAAAGAGCGTTGATTACGCGTGCGTAAAAATTGAAATGTCTGAGAGAAAGAAACTTCTGAAAGACGTTTTCAATATACACTCGAGTCTCCTTTCACGCGTCCATCTTTAATTTAATTCATTTATCTTTAACGAAGATTACGTTTCTTCAGATTAAACGGCAAAAAAGCGCGGGAACTTTGAAAAAAAGACGCTTTCAATTCGAGTCTCTTTTTACGCGTCTATCTCTAATTTAATTCATTTATCTTTAATTTGTCTTTTTAATGCTGTTTCCAAGTTACACGGTGCGCATATCTCATGGAAATTTGGGGTCTAAGACACTCGAACTCGCGATTTGACGAATTTAATTCGAAGAGTGTCGTTGCGCTCGCGGCAAACTAACGCCACAAGGACAATATTATAGTAGACGATTTAAGATGGTGAAAGAACACCGAGTATTCAGCTACTCTGTCCTCTTATTCTCCGTAATTTTTTAATTTTTCTTAATAAGAAACTCGACCGATCTCAGGATCACATCTTTTCAAATTGAACGGCAAAAAGCGCGGGAACTTTAAAAAAAAAGACGTTTTCAACATACACTCGAGCCTCCTTTCACGCGTCCATCTTTAATTTACCTTTTTAATGCGGTTTTGAAGTTACGTGATGCGCATATTTCATGGAAATTTAGGGTTTACGATACTCGAACTCGTGACTCCAACGAATTTAATTCGAATATGAAGAGTGTCGTTGCGCTCACGACAAATTAACCTTCCTGAACTCGCGTAATTTTTCTGCGCATAGTGACTCACGTCGCTCTCGCACCGATATTTAAATTATCGGAACATGGTATTTATACCGTACAGTTTCGTGTAATTCGTTACAACAAGAAGGAGGGGCAGGGTGAGAGCGTCAATTGTTTCTGAAAAATAAAGGAATTCCGATTTCGTCGGTCTGCGGGACCGCCACGCGAGTCTAAATAGGAAGATTAATGCCGTAAGGGCAATATTATAATAAACGACGTAAGATGGTGAAAGAACACCGAGTATTCAGCTACTCTGTCCTCTTATTCTCCGTAATTTTTCAATTTTTCTTAATAAGAAACTCGACCGATCTCAGGATCACATCTTTTCAAATTGAACGGCAAGAAGCGCGGGAACTTTAAAAAAAGACGCTTTCAAGATACACTCCAGTCTCATTCCACGCGTCTACCTCTAATCTCATTCGTTTATCTTCAATTAAGTCTGCGTTTCTTCAGATTAAACGGCAAAAAAGCGCGGGAACTTTAAAAACAAAGAACAGAACCTAAAGATGAAGCCTGTAATGAAGGAAACCAATGTTATTATTGCGGACGAGTGTATTGCAATTCGTAAGGTACAAATAGTACAAAGGGTATAAGAGTACAAACATTGCGTAGGAACTAGAGTATGCGGACATAGAAAAAGTACAGTTTAGAGACGTGACATAGAAGGGTAAATCGTTCGTTCTCCTTTCCCTCGTTCACCCTTGCTCGAACGTTCGAATTGCGCAAATCGTGACTTACCTCCGTTTCGTTTCGTTTCGTTTCTTTTTTTCTCTCTCATTTTTCTTTCGCCTCGATTTTCAGTCTCGTGCCGAGATCGTCGCAGGTTTATTCTTTTCTCTCTCTCTCTCTCTCTCTCTCTCTATTCTCTTTCATTTTCTTAATACGACGTCGGAACCTTCTCACACGCGAGGGGAAATTAAAACGGAAATTGAAAGTTTCTCTTAACGTCGTCCAAGAAACGCGTTGGACGAGGTGAGCAAAAGTACAGAAGAAAATGACGGAAGGGAAGAACAGCGTGGTTGAGGATGGAGAGGGGGGGAGGGGGGAAGGACGAAGGAAAAGAGAAATAATGGAAGATGGATCTCGACACGAGCCTCGATCAATAAACGTAACGTGTCGCGCGTAAATCCTATATCTGATAATACAATAAATATTATAATAGAACAACGCAATAATAATTATTTTTATATTTTGTATATATATGTGTATATATTATATATAATATAGGAAGAAACATGTCGACACAACTAGCTCTAAAACACCGAGAGGATCCATTTTGCTTTTTTTCTCATCTCTTCGTTTCGTCTCAATCGTCGCTTATCCTTTCTTTCGCCGTTTCCGCTTCTCTCTCCCATCCTTTCTTTCTTTTTCTCGCTTAACTCTCGTATTTACAGCCGCCTCACAGTCGAATTTACATCTTACAAAAGAATCAACCGGATCAACTATGCAATAGCTCGGCTCTCCAGCTATCATAGCTGAACGTGATCGCTTCATCTCGACGGAAGGAAAAAAAGCGCCTATAGCACGGAGAAAAACACGCGTTAACTAGAAAATGTCTCTCTACCCAACGTTTTACGTTTCCTTTCGCTCTTCCTCTTTCACCCTTGCCCATTTTCTTCTATCTCAAGGACACACAATCGCACGATATATTTGATAAAATTCAAGCAGACAAAATTCGCATTCTTGCAAGAACAGCAGTATTGCACACCGACCGATTCGATTTTCACTCACTCTTTATTTCGCGGATTGGATCGGTTTCTCGCTCTCGCTCGATCCCTTCGAAGTTTCCGTTGAGCAGAAAATACGAACGCATCTCGAGCGGGTCGCCTTCGGCTCGATCGATCTCCCCGATCGTTCGGTAGCCATTTTGGTTCCTTCGTTTAATTACTCGCAGCTTGGACAGCACACTCGACGGATTTAAGGCTTAATGATATGATTTCGCCGTTGTACTCTGTTCCTCCATCGAACGCTTCAACTTTCCACCCTCTTTCAATCATTCCGCGTTATTACTCGAATCTATTGGGAATCTACCGCGCGACGACGCTTCCGCGTTACTATCAACGTTCGATTAATACCTCGTTCACACCCAACGATCTTTGGTGTCATTTTAAAGCGATAGGAAATAACGCACGAAGCGTCGATTCGGTGCTATCGTTAACACTGATCTCTCACACACTCTCTTTCTCACTCTCTCATTCTCTCTCTGTAAACAATACCTCGAATTTCGACTCGTGAAAGAACGTGCGCAACGTCGCGCGAGTGGTCGTTAGAAAGACGTGTAATCTTCGAGTGGACTTTTCTTCTCTTTTTCTCAGCGTGTAGGATAATTGAGTTGGTTTGCATGTCGCTTCCTCGGAACGCGAATCGATCGACGTTGCCACGCGCAAATCGACAAGAAACAGACCCTTTACTACGTAACACTACTATTACGACTAATTTCGCGACGGACGCATTGACTTTCTCAAACTGCCTTCTATTTCCTTCGTTCCTCACCTTTTTCTCTCTCCCCCTTTTTTCCATCATCGTCGAACAAAAAGACTTCAACATCTACATAGGATAACAATATAAAAATGCACGAATACGAGGACGTCGACAGCCAGAGGACATTCACCGATCCGCGATCTGTTTCCCTCAATTCGCTAGTTTTCCCTTCTTCCTTTGTTTCCTTTCCTTTTCGATTTATCTACTTTGGACGCGAGAGACGCTATGTTTAAGTTGCAGTTTTGTACTACGTGGAAGACGGATGTCCGTGAAGAGTATCATCGTGTAACATCGAAGGACAGATCATGGGGGATTCTCCGGGGGGACTTGCGTCAAAAAATCGTTCTTCATCTATCACCTTAACCGTCGTCAACCTAAGGTTGCCTAGATTTCAGTCTTACGAACGTTTAACGACCAAGGACAAAAAACACTTCTCTCTCGCACACACACTCTCTCTCTCTCACACACACTCGCTACAATTCTTTTTTCATTTTTTTTCTCATTTTTTTGATCAAGTAGAAAATCGTCTTATCGCTTACGTATCGAACAGAAATCTCTCATTCATTGTTCCCGAGAAAAATCGAAGGAACAGCCTCGACGATTCTAAGCGGACTAAATCGTGTCTAGAATGAACCTCGGTAAAAATTGTGCGTCGTTTCAATCGTGCCTCCTCCTCTCGTCCCTTTAAATCGATTAAAAAGACAAAAAACTGCGCCAGTTCGACGCGAACCTACGTCTATGTACACCTGAATAGATCGCTATTCAGCGCGAGGACGATCCAATTACAATAGCTTACCGATTAAATCTAAACGAGTCAGCGAATCGACCTTTTTAATCTACCTAGAACCATTTTCGCGACGACTTCGAAAGCGGCTCGGCTAACCTGGCTTCTCCTCTGAAATTCTTTCAGGAGTTTACACAGGTGCGCGTGTGGAGACTCGAAGAAGAATCGTCGAACCACGCTACTCTCTCTCCCTCTCTCGAAAGGACCGTTTCTCCCAGGATTCACATGAAGTAAACCGGATCGTTCTCGGCGATGGCGTCCAGCCTGACCGGCAGGTTCTTCGGTCGTTGAGGAGTCGCTGTCTTGTACACGACCTCGCGGGATCCCTTGCGTCACATGTAGGTAGGCTTCACTTTGTACGCTCGTTTCCAAACTTCGCAGAGACAGACGGTGCTGTGGAACCTGTAGAAGATCGCGAGAGGCATCGAGACGTGCGTGATGATCGTCCATGCCCAGAGACCGTAGAAGTGTAGCTGGACAGGATGAGACTCTGCCCGAGATTTCTCCAACGTGTTGATCGCCCACATCGCTAGATTCGTCACCAGAAGGAACGTCACTATCTCTCTGCCTGGCTTTCTTCTGATTTGCTTCGCTGTCGCGACGGATCTCCTCGAAGCGTCTAGGATGAAGATCGTTTGGAAAGTCGTTTGTAGAACGCTGGCTAGAGCTGTTATCAGGACTAGGACGGTGTGCTTCGCCAGAGTGAACTGAGCACCGATGATGGTGAACGTGGAATAGATGAACATTCCTGTTTGCGCTGCTACCAGTAGGATGTTGTCCAGTTCGAGGTTTCTGTTCCCGTCGTAACGTAGCTTTCGCATTTGGAACATCCCTATTAGGGTGGCCATCGTGGACATTCCGTACAGCGTTAGCTCGCAGACGTTCACTTCTGTCACGGCGAAGCTGACTAACTCTGGACGAGAGATGAGGACGAAGAAGAGGATCAGGGAGATGATCGTTAGCACCAGAATCAGGATGCCCACGAACAGGCCTTTGTGGGCACGGGCGCAGTCCACGCTGTAGTGGTGAGGCGATCTTCTGTGGGAGTGGAGATTATGTTAGAGTAATCGACGCAGGCTTTGAAATATCTGTGTATACTTGGTAGAAGATATGTAGCGGGCTCGTCAATTTTCACGTTAAAGGTGGTAAAATTTTCATTTTTATTTTATCGAAATATGATTAAATGTTAGTGACATGTTTTCCTTTGGCTGTTTCTTCGCTGTTTGAAAAATTTTTATTTTATGAAAGTATTTTTAAGGATCGTCGAAGTTAGTTGGCCTCGCGCTATTTTGCTTTGTTACGATTTATGATAGAAAAATTTTAATTTTATCAAAATATGATAAAATGTTGGTGGACAGATATTTTTAAAGAGCGTCAAAGTCTATTAGCTATGTTTCTTTGGCAGGATTTACGGCAGGTACTTAGACTGCCTGTGACCAAAGAGAGTGTTTATAAAAGAAGACATAGATTGTTAGTGACTCGAAGTTACACAGTTATCAGGTGTCACAGAATCGACATTTTGGAAGAAAATTTGAGAAAGTTCAGAGATAGTAACAAACCCGATGTTACACTGCTGTAAAAATGGGAATACTGTTCTTAGAGGATCTAGCAACGAAGTAGGAAAGGCGAGGGTGTCTTCTGATAAAAGGACGGTGAGAACAGAACAGAGTGAACGAAATAGTAACCTGGCCATCGGTATTATTTCCAAGCCCCCAAAATCTCAAGTCAGACGCACCCAACAAAAGACTTTAATCTTCTAGCGGCCAAGCGATGACTGTGACTGGGTCAGTATAGACCCACATCTACTTCTCTCCTATTTTCATCAAATTTTTAAATACTCCACCATGAGAAACCCCTATTTTTCTGTTTTTATCGCTCTCTCAAATATACTACAACACAAAAATCGATGCCAAGTTGCTGAACATCTCACAAGCTTCCTATCTCCCCCAAACTGACATTTTAACCATGAAATTTCATTTTCTTTCACAACCTCGCCATACCTCTTCCACCAAGTGCATTCAGTTTCACAACGATTTACCTATAAGCGTGAGTATGATGCCTGGAACCTGGCGGCGTCTTAGGCTGCGAGAACGCCACTTTCGATATGTTCTTCCACATAACGTACAAAATCGCAGCGCAGATCAAACTGTACTCTATGGTGCATGGGAATAGAAAAGGGCTGGCGTCCTGTACCAACGATCCCATTATATTCGTTCTCCTGCACTCGTACATGTGATGCGGCCCCTTCAAACCTCTCGGAAGCCTGAGATGTTCTCCGTGATGGTAGTGACTGTGTCCTCCGAGATTCAGATTCACCTTCGCGCCTTAACATTCAATTTCAATCTCAATCTCCGGTTTCGTTCTCTGTCGATTATGCGTTCGAGTCGAAGCTGACGGGTAAATTACCCAGAGATAGAAGATATTACCTAGTCTATGGGAGATTTTCAGGGTGTTGTTCTCCGGGTCGTAGAACGTCAATATCTCGTGTTTCGTTTCCTGTACAAGGACGTTCAGCCAGACGGACAGATTCGTACCGATCATGTGCATCAGGCCGAAACGCGCAACCACTCGATGACGGTAAACTTTCATTTGCTGTCGAAGAGAACACAGAGAACGGTATTAACGTTTCCTGTTTGAAAGAAAAAAGAGGGAGAAAAGGTTGTTCGAAGCGTGAGACGAGAGAATAGCAGCGATCGATCTCCCTCCGCGACGTTCCAACGAGAATAATTCGATAATTGTCGGAGTTGATCGCTTTGTACGGCCAGGAGACAGTAGGAGAAAGCTTCGGCTTTGGAGAAGGTTGAAGTGGCGAAACGATTAGCGGTCCTCGATCGAGAAGCCTCGAGGACGGAAAGTTGGAATGAAAAGCTGGCTCGTGGGATGAATATCTGTCGCGTTCGGCCGAAAGGAAAGAGCAACGCTGTCGTTGGATAGGTCGACGGACGACTCGTGTTCCAGTATTAGTTTCAGGGTTGTTCACCCTTCCGTTTCATTAACCTTTCTAGCCGAGCTTCTCGTTTTGCACCGACGCTTTCGCTCTTTCATTACGTCCCCGCGCTCACACCGATTTCTGCAGCATCCACGCCGCTGTTATTTTTAGCCCCTTCACCTACTAAAGCGACTGACTCCCCCTCGATGATTTTCAGTTAACCGTCCCCTTTTTTTTTTCGTTTTACGCAACATCCTCGCGGGAAAAAGAAGCTGGCCAACCGTACCGCTGCCATTCTCGAGGAATTCAGACGATGGTGAGTACTGTTCATGCTTGGCTCTGTGTTTTCCAGGTGTAGTTATGTCGGTCTTCAACCCTTTCGTATTTACGGACGAGATATCCCGCGTGTCTTTCCATCGAGCAAGGACCAATTCGTTGGCAAAGTGTCGGGGTGAGGGATATCTCGTCCGTGGAAGAGAATAGGTTAAGAGACTTCGGTTGAATTGAACCTTCGGTCGTTATGTAGGGTGACGAAGAAAGGGACTTAAGAGGGTAGCTAAGAAGGTGAAATTAACGTAGGTGTTAAGATCAATTTTCCTGATGATCTACTTTTGTATTTAAGAGCGTTGGATATCGCGAATGAGTCGTAGATTTTAATAGAAGTTTTGGTAGATTTCAGCAGAGTGAAATTTATTTCAGTATGGTTTAACACTAGACCTACCGGCCGGGTTAAAATGACCCATTAGCAGCTTTCCAAAACCAGTTCGATACACAGTGTCGTGTAGTCGCGTCGGTTTGCGTTGTGTTGCAGACTTAGATCACCAGTAAAAATAGTCGGATAATTTTTCACGGAGTACTCTATCTCGAGCGTTGTGATATATAAAAGAAACTTGGTTGATCGTTCAGTGCTCGGACTGATTGAATAGCTGGTTGTTCGTTGGTTGGCGCTCGGAACAAGACTGATTCGAAATTCGGATGAGCGGAGTTAAATTTGGGAGGTGAAAAAATGGGAGAATATGGAAAATCGATTATTGGTCGTAGGGTGTTTCTTAAGTAGATGGAGAGAGGGTAAAAGTGGTGTCTGGGGTTTGGCAAATTCCGGGAAAAAGGGACACGAAAGAAGGAAAGTACTACATTAATAATTAGGAAGTCGGAACAATAGATGGTAAAAACGCGTCTCTAACCGTCTCGGCTAATCCTATCAGGTCCGTTTTACAACTGCCTTGAACTCTCAAACTAGAGAAATGAAAATGTTCGGTACGGAACACACAGCAAGTATTACCGTTTGTAACTTTTCGACTTTGTTCTCTTCTATGTGCGCTTCTATTTGTACCGATCTAATCTAACTGTTCATTCTCATTTTAGTTACATAAAAGTTCGCTTTTGGAAAGTCGCTAATAGGTCATTTTGACCCGGTTGGTTGTTCTAGCGTTAAATGCAGTAAGTGTTCCAATACTTATGAACTCGAGTGTCTGTTGATTAGACATTTTTTACTGCTCTCGGTGGTTGCTATAAACCCCTACAATATTCGCAAAAATATTCCTATCAACACTAAGAACTCTATTTTTACATCCTTTGTTACATTTCGGTAGCTTCTCATTCGGTAAGTGTCCCAATACTTATGAACTCGAGCGTATGTTAACACATTGCTGACGGTATGCCATAAATTGACACGTTTGACATGTGTAGTTTAAAAAAAATAATTTTTAACACTTCGTTCAATAATCCGGGTGCAGACGATACGAATTAGCGTATCTCCCGCGATAATTCGCGTCTCCCGTTTTTAATTAGACATTTTTATTTCCCTCAGTGATTACTGTAAACCCCTTAACGCTCAAATTTTTCTCAACGTGATGTACTAAAAACGATCAATTTTTTTTTCTTTTAATTATTTCCTAGGCGCATAAAAATAAGTTTCCCATTTATTTGTAACGCTGTAACTTACATTCTCACCGTAACATAGTAAGGATAGCGCAATACGAAAAGTGAAAGAAACTGATTAAACAAAATTGCATTTTGCGTAAGGCACGGGCATGAGTGTTAAAGGGTTAAACCCTTTTCTAGTCACCCTGTATATTATTCGCAAAACAATTTTTAATAACACCAAGAACCCTACTTCACATCCGTCTTCACATTTCAATACTCTTCTCATTCAGTAAGTGTCTCAATATTTATGAACTCGAGTGTATCTTAATTACACATTTTTTACTCCTCTCAATAATTACTATAAACCCTTACCTTTATCACCCTGCAAATTACTCACAAAAATATTCCCAAGAACTCTATTTCACATCCTTCTTCACATTTCAGTAAATGTCCCAATACTTATAAACTCGAGCGTACGTTAATTACTCATTTTTGACTCCTCCCAATAATTACTATAAACCCCTACAACGTGAAACCCTTCCTCTATCACCCTCTATATTCCTCGCAAAAATATTCCCAACAACAGTTAGTGTCGTATCGAGCTTCTCGGTGTTGAACTCGCTCTGTTGCCTCAGGCTGGGCCTGTTACAACGACGGTGGGGTAGCGTTTCAAACCACTGCGAAGAGTCACGCATGTAGGTGTTTGACTTCACCACTTGAGGATCGCTAGGAGGGAAATTGCCAACAACACCAAGAACCCCTCCATCCTCCGTTACCAAAAACCAACTCACCTCGTTGTTCAGAAATATAAAGTACATCTGTATGAAGATGAACGCCATCCTCGTGGCCGGTGTCAGGGCGAGCATGATATTGTGACACTTGGTGTTCCTCTCCAGCTCGAAGTACTGTCCGAACTCGAGACCTGAATAGATCATCGAACCGATACCAAACGCCACAGCGCCCATTCGAAGATAAAAGCTGCCGTAGTGTTGAGCCGGCCTTACGCTGCTCATGTGCGGGCACGTGGTGTCCGCAGCGTCGCTGTCGCCGCCGGCGCCGCTCGACGATCGCGACGAGTCCAGGTCGCACACGTCCTTTCGTTTCTCTTCTCATGCAAATTTATGGTAATCGGCACGGTTAAGATTAATGCGATTCTAACGGGGCCGAGCTCGCCGCTTCCCGTCGCGTCGGAAGCCGATTGAAAGCGAGCTCGTTTCACTCGCCGCCGTACTTTTTACCCTTTTCCTTCTTTTTTTTTTTTCTAACGCAACTCTACGCTTCTCACCGGAGAACGGGGAATTTTCTTCGTTGCTGCTTCGAACACGTTTCAGCGGTTAATCGTTGTTCGAGATTTAATTAACGCGCAGAGGAAGAAGTATAATGGACTGTTCGAAGGGTAGTTACGTCGATCGAGGTGTTAGTAAATTCTTATAGAACGAGCCACGATATAGCTCGTCAAATGGGTTACCGACGGAGTAAACATTGGAGTGTGGAGACCGTCGAGTTGACAGAAATAGAGCAGATAAAGGGTAGACTACCCTGAGTTGTCTAAAAATATGTGGAAGTTTGAGAATTTTTTTGTAGGTAGCTACTGAATCAGAAGTTTCAATTTTTTGAGGGAAAATAAAAGTAACTTTCAGCTGTTCTCTCGAATTTTTAAAAAGTAAGATTTTCCACTTGCAAATGTCATACCATTAACCCCTTCACGTATGATTTCTTTTCCTGACGGTGCATCTAAGCCTCAATTATTCACTACTTTCGTACCATATCGAGTAAGAAAAGCCTACGTATTATAGATTAATGAAATTTGCCAGTCTTCAGCTTTACGAATTAAATCGAAAATTGGAATCAAAATGAATTTACCGATGGAATTAGATTGGAATTAAAATGAACTTAAAACGAGTTTTCGATGTAACTGTTTTTATCAGATCTTGACCAAAATCTGTGCCACGAATCTGACTCGTTATTGTACGGCAAGGGGTTAATTGCAAATCGTCATTCTTTTATTCTACAGAAACCCAAAATGAAATAGAGTGTACTGACATCAGTAGGTCTCGTTCCTTTACTCTATAGCAGGGGTCCCCAAAATGCGGCCCGCGATGGCAGATCAGCCGCGATCTTGAATTTACTATACTAAATTTTATATGTAATACACTACCGGCCAAAAGTTTGGAATCACCAAGCACTGCAATTTACAGAAAAATTTCCAGAAAAAAGTCAGCGACTTTGAGAATTTTTCATCGTTCGAATCAATTGATATGAGATAAATTGGTAAATGTAGAATTGAGATAAACTTCAAATCTATAAAAAATTAGCAGCAGATTTAATATCGACGAAAAGTGGGAGGTGATTCGAAACTCTTGGCCTGTAGTGTATATCTTGTTATTATATAGATTGTATATACTTTATTGTCTTAACGGCCAATGGCCCGCGAAATATTTTCGAATTTACAATTCGGCCCACCTGGGCAAAACTTTGGGAACCCCTGTGTAGCGACATCGATAGGTCTCATTCTTTTACTCTACGGAAACCCAAAACGGAATACAGTGTACAACCCTAAATGCGGTCCAGTTCGAGGATTTAATTCACCATCTCGCTATATCGTGGCTCATACTGCGCAACTAATTTCGTAAAGTACGGAAAGGTGTAAAAAAGTGACAGGGTTGTTAGTGTGACCTGCGTCCATACTACACTAATCGTTCACTGCGCAATGGAATTACCTACTTGTGAAACAACACGCGGCAGACCTTCCTGAAACGTCAATTTGAACACCCTGTTTGTTAAACTCAGCTCGTACACACCCAATCGTACAATGAAAATTCCAAAGAGAAAAGCAAAAAAACATCACTCGATCGACGATTCACCGATCTCGACTTACTTGACTTCGGCTTGCCATCGCGTAGCAACGTGGCGTACATGTAGACGAGGAAGATCATGCTGCCGAAGTACAGATACAGGTAGAATCCTTCGTAGAACGACGGCGGTATGTAGGTGGATATTACTTCCGCCATTGGAAAGGCGATTCCCATAACGACCAACAGCTTTCCGTAGAGCGCGCTAAAAGTCGTCGCCAGGGCGTCGCTGCGTAACAAAACGGAAATTGTGCTTGAACGATTACACCTCTGTCCCTTCTTGCGTTACGTTTTCGTTCCCCTCTCCACCGGTTAGCCCCGGGGGGAAATTGGACTATTTCCGAGTCCCCTACCTGTTGTCTCCAATATTTTCCACGATCTCGATCATCTCATCACGATTACCAACATCAAAGCTCATCGTTTCACGCCTGCGAAACCAAGCGTTCGTTTTTTTATTCCCAGTCGCACAGTGTGATGGGAGTCGTGGATGAAACAAGCAAGCGAAACGAACAGTTTCTCACTCCGGATGAAAAATAAAGAGAAAATGGAAGAAAGAAAGAAAGAATCCGTTGCGGGTCACGGGAATGGGAAGCGTCAGATAGGTGGTGTGATACCATTGGCCGCAAATACATCCACCCCCGTAAGAATTGGCTCAATTACGGGTAATCGTGTGCCTCCACGCTCACATTCTCTATGCTTATGCGTCTCTGCGTGCGCGCGCCTGTGTGTGCGCGTGTATTTGATTCATAAAGTACCGGTAATTGCGGTGCAGACGTCGGTCAGGATAACCCGGAGGATCACGTGAAATTTCCGTGGTGACACATCCCCCCTCTTCGTCTATTCACGCGGCGTTAATTCGCCCGGTATGGAAATCAGTCAAGATGAAATCTTTCAACGGCGATCTGTCCGCGTGCGGTGCCCATTAAACACGCTGGAACCGTGAATATGACCCGATTTAACGACCAACCTTTTCTTCGTCACTTTGTCACACACACGGACGCACATCGACACAGAAGGTGCAGCTTAAATACGATTTACACGAGCAACGCGAATGGAAACGTTCGAGCGATAAAATAAAAATGACTGAATTATTATAAGAAACAAGGATGAGAACGGGAGAGCGGTAATTTCACTTCCGTTCGCCATACCAGGAAACGCGGCAATCGAGGGACGATTTCAAAGACAATACGTCGTTCCTCCTGAATTTCCAAGCAGAGAGATCATTTTGTATTAACCCCTTGAACTGCAATTTATTTTCAGGCAGCACTGCTCAGGCAGACGATTTCATTTTCTTATTAGTAAAAATAATATCTGTGTTAATGTTTAACAAGAATATTACAGTTCTAGTATTTGAACGAAAAAAGTGTGTGTTCCAACATAATGCTAATGTATTTGCAACAATTTCAGACAATGTAAGTATGTATATTCATCCGCATTTACTAATTACTGTAATATATACTAAAAAACATTTACTATAGACGGATATCACTAGTAAAATAACCGCTATTGCACTTCGTTAGTATGTCGTGTCGTGCGTTTACTTCACGCGATACTGGCTGCATAGATTTATACAAATTACATTGAAACTGTTACTAGAAGCATGTAAACAAATGTATCGAAGCAAAAGACTCGTTGCGACTTACATGTACTTCTCATATGAAAAGCTTCAACTATCAAAAGTTTGTGGCGAGTCCAGCTCGTCATTGTCAGTTTGCCCGAGAAAGTTCATGGCGAGCTGGACTCGTCATGTCAGTTCAAGGGGTTAAAACGATAAAATAAAAATTACTAAATTAACCCTCATGTGAATAACCAGGTACTCTTTTGCATAATTCTCGCTTAAAATATTTGATCTTCCAGGTAAAAGATTGAAATGTCCGGCCAGATCGCTGTTATTTCGCACATTTCTTATCTCCGTTTGCCTAAAGTTTAGAATTTTGTTATCAGGAGTCTACTAAAATTGGACGATAAAAATAGACGGCAATTCTGGTTATTGACATAAGGGTAAATGAAACACAAGGATGACAACGAAAGAGCGATAATTCCACTTCCGAAACGCGGTAATTGAGATACCATTGCAAAGGCACTACGTCGTTCTTCCTGGATCTCCAAGAAGACGGATCATTTTGTATTAAAAAAAAAAAATAGGAAGGAGTAGAAGAGACACCCATCCGGTGGAGAGGTAGAGAGTGTGATAAAAAAAAAAACAGAAGAAAGTGAAGAGAGAAGAATGGAAACGAAGGACTCACCATCCGAGCTTCTTCCACTTCCGGTCCTCGGCGACGTCGAGGAAGGCCGGTGCCGGGTAGCAGACCGCGGAAATCGGCTGCGAGGAGCATGGTAGAGCCAGGGCGAACTGGGGTGGCCGGTGTGCGCGGGAGGGTGAGCTGCTGCTGTGTCTAGACAGCGTTTCCGGTGAAACGATTACCGCGGACGGTGAAGCCGGTGACGGCAGGGCAGCCGGCAATCCTGGCCAGCTGTACAGATCGTTTCCTCATTATTTCTATCCTGTCCTTGGCCGGATCGATTCACTTTCGTATCGACGACTCAATTACAACGGATAATTACCGCGCTACGGCTGTGCACCGCCGCGGTATACGCTACCGCGGGGGTGTACACCGTCTGCGACACGAAATTGATCCTATCTGTTTCCTCTGTGATTTAAACATCTTTTTTCTTTCTCTCCCTGTCTCTGTGGCTCTTTATAATTGAACGGTACTTTAACTCGCAGTAATTGCATACTTCACCGTTAAATTATCGTATCAGGAGGCTTGTACGATTCTTTTCAGCCCGTCAACGGAGTTCTACTAATCAGACTGTGCGCAGAGAGATATCGTTGGTACAGAGTGTTTCGGTTTTTCTTGGAAGCCTGGGAGTTTTGCTTTTTGACACGTTGACTGTCACGTCGGATTTGCGTGTTTTGCTCAGGGGGCAAGAAGATTTTCGTTGTTCTAAGCACAGTGTTATATTGTGCATTATTTATTTTTTTTTTAACACGTTAAGCGCGGCGTCAGTCCGTGGTGACTGACAGTGAACTTTTCGTTTGAGTGGCGTAGGCCCGTGGGACCGGCAGTATCGTGTTTAAAAAATAAATCTTATGCACGTCTCCTTTTTTTTTTGCAATTTATGAACACTTCTTCTATCAACCCGGATTGGTATTTCTTCGTCCGAATGTCGTGTGAGCGCATTTGTCATCTTCTGTTCATACTCTATAACCGAACAGCTCGCAAAGTGATCGCCGCTGTGTGCCGCCTGAACGGAAAGCAGAGCGAAATCGGCTCCGC